AAAAAAAAAAAAAAAAAAAAAAAAAAAAAAAAAAAAAAAAAAAAAAAAAAAAAAAAAAAAAAAACAGGGAAAGACGATGGATGAGGAACAGTTGAAAGTTGGTGATCAATCAAGAAAATCGCAACCCTCCGATGCAAGCAATAGAGACAAATAAACGGCTACAAGACAGTGAGACTAATAATTACGTACAGTTCATATTTATTTTTCCTTCTTATTTCCGCCCCTCAACCAATCATAGAGTGAGACCCGGAAACGGTCAAGTGGATGGCCGCTTTTACTGTGGTTTAATTAAAAAAAAAAAATGATTAAAAGCTAAAAAAGAAAAATAAGGTTAAATTAATATATTTACACGTGGCATCTAATGGGGCCCACCACTTCTCACCCAGCGCCCTATCCTGACAAGAGTGGTTGGTCGTCTTCCCACTTTCCTTGTTTCGCTATAAAAATCAGTATTTACAGACCTTTTTCTTTACCTAAGCAATACGCCATGGCCTTCTTCTCTTCTTCCTTCTACCTCCTCCTTCTCTCCTCCATAGCTCTCTCCGAAGCCGCCGGATGGGTTGGAGTTAACTACGGTCGAATTGCCGACGACCTCCCTCCGCCGGAGAAAGTGGTTAAGCTCCTCAAAGACCAAGGAATCGACCGAATCAAGCTCTACGACACCGACTCCACCGTCCTCACCGCCCTGGCCAACTCCAATATCTCCGTCGTTGTTGCACTTCCCAACGAGCTTCTCTCCTCTGCCGCCGCCGATTCTTCCTTCACTGACAACTGGGTTCAATCCAGCATCTCCCACTTCTATCCCTCCACCAAAATCGACGCCATCGCCGTCGGCAACGAGGTCTTCGTCGACCCAAACAACACCACCAAATTCCTCGTCCCCGCCATGAAAAACGTCTACACCTCCCTCCAAAAATACAACCTCCATAACTCCATTAAAATCTCATCCCCCATTGCCCTAACCGCCCTCGCTTCCTCCTTCCCAACATCCTCCGGTTCCTTCAAACAAGACCTCATCGAGCCAGTCATCAAACCCATGCTCGCCTTCCTCCGCAAAACCCAATCCTATCTAATGATTAACGCCTACCCTTTCTTCGCCTATGCCTCTAACTCCGACAAGATCTCTCTTGACTACGCTCTGTTCCGGGACAACCCCGGAGTTCTCGACTCCGGTAATGGGCTGAAATACTCCAGTCTTTTCGAGGCGCAAATCGACGCCGTTTTTGCTGCCATGTCGGCTCTTAAATACGACGACGTTAAGGTAGTGGTTACGGAAACTGGGTGGCCGTCCAAAGGGGATGAGAAGGACGTGGGAGCAAGTGGGGAGAATGCGGCGTCGTATAACGGCAATTTAGTGAAGAGAGTGCTGACGGGGAGTGGGACCCCTTTGAGACCTAATGACCCACTCAACGTCTTCCTCTTCGCTTTATTCAATGAGAATCAGAAACCGGGCCCCACTTCTGAGAGGAATTACGGTTTGTTTTACCCGAACCAGCAGCGCGTTTATGACATTCCTCTCACACGCGCCGACGTGGAGAGTGGATCTCCAACGATGGTGAATGGTGGTAGCAAGGCTCAAGTACCGTCGTCGAAAGGGCAGACGTGGTGTGTAGCCAACGGGAAGACAGCGGCGGAGAAGCTACAAGCGGGGTTGGATTATGCGTGTGGAGAAGGAGGCGCTGATTGCCGTCCGATTCAACCAGGTTCCACGTGTTACAATCCGAACTCAGTGGAGGCACACGCTTCGTACGCTTTCAATAGCTATTACCAGAAGATGGCTCGTGCGTCTGGCACGTGTGACTTTGGAGGTGCTGCTTACGTCGTTAGTCAACCTCCACGTATGTATCTCTATTAAAATTTATTTGAAGAAATTAATTTTTGATTTAAATAATAATAAAATGATTTTGTTTAAATGGTGCAGAGTACGGAAAATGCGAGTTTCCGACAGGGAACTGAGTTGGGGCAGCTGCGGAAAGTGGTCGAAATCATCATCATCATCATCGGCATTTTAATTTCATTTAGCGAGATAAAACTGACTTTTTTATTTGATGTTTTTTTTTTTTTTTTTTTTTTAAATTTAGAATTATAATATATTATTTTGTATGTAATAGTTGAATATTTAATATTGAAGTTATTATAGCTGTTGGACTCTGCTTCCAACCTTTCTCTCTTGTTCGGATGCAATAATTAAGTAATTCCTCCTCAAAAACTAAATAAATAAATAATTAATTAATATCTCTCTTTTTATCATTTAAATATTGAATTATAATAAAACGATAATGATTTATTTGTTTGTTTTTTTTCGGTGTGAAATTTTGTCTTTTTGGTTTGACAAAACGGCAGAAAGAGTCGGGAAAAAGAGAACCGCCTTTTCCGCCCCCTTTCTATTATTTATTTATTTATTTATTTATTATTATTATTATTATTTTGCTAAATTAATAAAAAGTAAAGTGGTTATTAATGGGAATTTACCTGATCTTCAATAATGAAAATTGAAAAATTGAATCAACTGCAAGAAAAGCATCAATTCATTTCATACTTTGGTTTCTTTGGAAATGATGCTAGGAATAAACACAACTCTCTGATATTGTCCACTTTGAGCATAAACTCTCGTAGCTTTACTTTGAGCTTCTCCAAGAGGTTTCATACCAATGAAGGGAGTATTCTTTGATTATAATCCAATGATTATTTTCTAAATTAACCGACGTGGGACACTTTCATCCAACAAGTCTGAAAACGACAATAAGCGGGCTCGTCATCGAAATCCGACAATAAGTCTGAAAACGTCTATCAAAATGAAAAATTGGAGTGTTCATATCATTCGAGAATTCGATCCAATTGAACTGTTGGGTTAATTTTATTTTATTTATTTATTATTATTATTATTTTGGTTGAGTTGAATTTTAGAAGAATTGAAAATCCTACTCGGTTCACTAGTTGAAATTTTTTAGTCGATCTTTTTTAGTTGACTCAACCAGATCGACTAAAAAATAATGTTACAATTCAACTCTACTCTACTCTCAAGATTATTATAAGAAATTAAGAATATTTAACCTTGGTAACCGACGTTAATGATCCATT